ATTTTTGAGAGAGAGAAACAGCATGAGCAGGGGAAGAACGGAGAGAGAGGGAAACACAGAATCCGAAGCAAGCTCTAGGGGCTCAAACCTATGAACTGTGAGATCATGACCTGAGCCGAAGTTGGGCACTTAACCGACTGAGCTACCCAGGCGCCCTATTATTTACCTTCCTTTTTTAAAAAATTGTATAAAATACATATAACATCGAACTCATCATTTTAGCCACTGTCTATCTGCCTCTCCCTTGCTCACATTGTCTCTCTCTCTCAAAAATAAACATTACAAATATTTAAAAAATATGTATCTTCTTGGAAAAAAGTTCAAGTTCTTTGCCCATTTTATTTAAAAAAAATTTTTTTTTTCAACGTTTATTCATTTTTGGGACAGAGAGAGACAGAGCATGAACGGGGGAGGGGCAGAGAGAGAGGGAGACACAGAATCGGAAACAGGCTCCAGGCTCTGAGCCATCCGCCCAGAGCCCGACGCGGGGCTCAAACTCACGGACCGCGAGATCGTGACCTGGCTGAAGTCGGACGCTTAACCGACTGCGCCACCCAGGCGCCCCTCTTTGCCCATTTTAAATCAGGTTATTTTGCTGTTGTGTTGTAGGAACTCTATATATTTTGGATATTAACCCCTCATCAGATATATAATTTGCAAACATTTTCTCCCCTTCTGTGGGTTGCTTTTTCATTCTGTTGATAAGTGTCCTTTGGACACAAAAACTTTTTATTTTCTTTTATTTAAGTTTTAGTTAACATACTGTGAAATACTGGTTTCAGGAGAATTCAGTGATTCATCACTTCCATACAACACCCAGTGCTCATCACAAGTGCTCTCCTTAGAACCCATCACCCATCTATCTCATCTCCCACCGAGCTCCCTCGATCAACCCTGTTTGTTCTCTATCATTAAGAGTTTCTTGTGGTTTATTTGCCTCTCTTCCTTTCCTCCCACCCCTTCCATACATTCATCTATTTTGTTTCTTAAATTTCACATATGCGTGAAATCACATAGTATTTGTCTTTCTCTTACTTTGCTTAGCATGATATGTGCTAGCTTCATCCACATCGTTGCAAATGGCGAGATTTCATTCTTTGTGAAGGCTGAATAATATTCCATTGTACATATATATACACATCTTCTTTATCCATTCATCAGTCAATGCACATTTGGGCTCTCTCCATAGTTTGGCTATTGTTGATAATGCTGCTATGAACACTGGGGTGCAGGTACCCCTTTGAATTTTATTTTTGTATTCCTTGGGGAAATACCTAATAGTGCAATTGCTGAATCATAGGGTAGTTCTATTTTTAGTTTTGAGGAACCTCCATACTGTTCTCCAGAGTGGCTGCACCAGTTTTCATTCCCACCAACAATGCAAGAGGGTTCCTGTTTCTTCACACCCTTGCCAATATCTGTTGCTTCTTGTGTAATTCTAGCCATTCTGGTAGGTGTGAGGTGGTATCCCATCATGTTTTTGATTTGTATTTCTATCTGTATTTTGACTTGTATTTTGATGATGAGTGATGTTGAGCATCTTTTCATGTCTGTTAGCCATCTGGATATTGTACATAAATATCTTAAATTTTATGGAGTCCAACCTATTTTTTTCTTTTGGTGTTATAACCAAGAAATTGGCAACCAAATGTCATGAGGTTTTCTCGTTTTCTTCTAATTTTATAGTTGTAGCTCTTATGTTTAGGTCTTTGATCTATATTAATTCTGGTAAATGGTGTACGATAAGAGTCCAACTTCATTTTTTAATGTTTATACCCAATTTCCCCAACACAACTGACTGAAAAGACAGTCCTTTACCATTGAATGGTCTTGTCATCCTTGTTATTTGACCATATATGCAAAGATTTATTACACCTTAAAAGAAAAATGTTTTACTTAGGTGTAATTCATGTATCCATATAATTCATCCATTTAAGTACACAATATAATGGCTTATGGTATACTCACAGAATTGTGCAACATCACACAATCAATTCTGGAACATTTTTATCACCCAAAAAGAAATCCTGCACCCATGAGCAGTCACTATCTATTACTCCTCCCCCAGACCTAGGCACCACTAATCAACTTCCTTTCTCTATGGATTTGTGTAATCTGGATAACTCATATAAATGCATCCTACAGTATTTTGCCTTTTGTGACTAGCTTCTTTCACTTAGCATGTTTTCAAGGTTTATCCATGTTGTAGCAAGTATCAGTACTCCATTCTCTTTTATTGTCCCTTTGTTTTAAGGGGGGGTAGGGGAGGGACAGAGGAGGAGAGAGAGAATCTTAAGCAGGCTCCATAGCCAGCCTGGAGCCCAGCTCAGGGCTCGATCTCATGAATCATGAGATCATGACCTGAGCCAAAATCAAGAGTCAGAGGCTTGGGGCACCTGGGTGGCTCAGTCAGCTGAACTTCTGACTCGGTTTTGGCTCAGGTCATGGTCTCACAGTTGGTGGATTTGAGTCCCACGTGGTGGTCACAGTATGGAGCCTGCTTGGGATTCTCTCTCCCTTTGCAAATAAATCTTAAAAAAAAAAAAAAAAAAAAGAGGTGGAGGCTTAACCAACTGAGCCACCCAGGTGCTCATTGTTTATTTTTATTGTTGAATAATATTCCATTGTGTGGATACATCACATTTTGTTTATCTATTTATCAGTTGATGGACATCTGGGTCGTTTCCCTTTTTTTGGCTGCTAAAAACATTGGTGTAAACTTTTGTATGACGCACGTTTTCAAATTCTTGAGTATATACCTAGGAGCGCAACAGCTGAGTCATATGGTATTTGGTGTAGAGGACTAGCCAGGCTGTTATCCAAAATAGGTATACTATTTTACATTTTTACCAGCAGGGCATGCAGGTTCCAATTTCTTCACATCCTCACCAACACTTTTTATTGTAAGCCTTTTTGACTTTAGCCATCATAGTGGATGTGAAGTGATAGCTCACTGGGGTTTTAAATTGCTTTTCCCTAATGATTAGTGATTCCCTAATGATGTTGAACATCTTTCCATGTGCTTTCTGGCCATTAATCTATGTTCTTTGGAGAAATGTCTACTCAGATCACCTGTTTTTATTTTAGTTATTTTTTTTGGAGACAGAGTGTGCACGTGTATGTGAGTGGGGGAGGGGCAAAAGCAGAGAGAGAGAGAGAGAGAGAGAGAGAGAGAGAGAGAGAGAGAGAGAGAGAGAGAGAGAAAATATCTTAAGCAGGCTCCACGTGGGCTTGTCACAGACCCTGGGGTCATGACCTGAGCCGAAATCAAGAGTCAGACACTCAAAAGACTGAGCCACCCAGGTGCCTCTCACTTGCCCGTTTTTAGACTGTCATTTGTCCTTGTGTCTTTGCTTTGTAAGAGTTCTTTAAAAATCTTGGATGTAAGTCACCCTTCCAAAACTCGAAACTAAGGGTTTTGTTTTTTGTTTTTGTTTTCCTATGATGGTAACAGTGGGCTTCTTTGAAGCTAGGAAATATTCTTATGTTGTGCAAACTGTTGATTTGGGATTCTAAATGCACTGTATACTCATACTGTATACTTAAGGCATGCAATTTTTGTTCCTTTATATTTTTGATAAATCTGATCTCATTTTCATTAATCATTTTACACTATCTTTGGAGTACAAAATTTGCAGGGTCCCACCGCTGTTCTTCTGCCAAATTCATTACAAATTCAAAAGTTGATACAGTTTTCCCTTAAATATTCTGTCCCATAATACAATTAACATCTTCACTATCTTTATCAATGTCCTTTGGCCATTTAGCAAGATTGAAAACATCCATCATCATTTATTATCTAATAATAATGATTACCAGTTACTTTAGTTTTCTTCTTGGCAAAAATTCTTTCTGTGCTTAGGATGCTTTAGTTTTAAAATATTACTTTCTGGGGGCGCCTGGGTGGCTCAGTCGGTTGAGCGTCCAACTTCGGCTCAGGTCATGATCTCACAGTCCATGGGTTCGAGCCCCGCGTCGGGCTCTGTGCTGACCGCTCAGAGCCTGGAGCCTGTTTCAGATTCTGTGTCTCCCTCTCTCTCTGCCCCTCCCCCACTTGCACTCTGTCTCTCTCTGTCTCAAAAATAAACATTTAAAAAAAAATATTACTTTCTGGGGACGCTTGGATGGCTCAGTTGTTTGAGCTTTCGACTTTTGATTTTGACTCAGGTCATGATCCCAGGGTCATGGGATGGAGCCCTGCATCAGACTCCGCGGTGAGCATGGAGCCTGCTCAAGATTCTCTCCCTCTCTCTCTCTCAAATAAAATATTATTTCTGCTTATTGAGCACTTACTGTATTTAAGGCATAGAAATAGATGCTGCATAGACACCATGTCACTTCCATTTCACCACCCTGTGGGGTTAGTATTATGATCTCCATTTTACAGATGAGTAGTCTGAGGCTCAAAACCCAAGTCTGACTTTACTGCCTGAGCTTTTAACTTTTACAACACTGCCTAAAGAGGTAGAGGAATACTACATCACAGATTTTTATCATGTTGTGTTTTTAAAAACACATGAACAGATGCAACTTCGTGTAGTCGGCTGCTGCAACCATGCACTGGAAGTCCAGAAAAGTCCTCTGTTCCTAGGACTATGGAGGAAAACTGGTGAGCTCCAGCAAACCCCAAGCCTAAATTTCACCTTTGCTACAACAGGGGTTTGAAACCCAAGGAAGAATGCAAACTATGTAAGCTCTCACATTACCACCAACTCATAACCTCTACAATCCTAACTCCCACGAGAATGATTACTTTAGTAACACAGTCTACAGGACAGCAGGGCAGCATATACAGGTTTAGGTTTATGAAACCAAGTATTTAGTTATTTTTCAAGTTAATTTACTTACTCATTAAGTAACCTCTACACCCAACATGGGGCTCGAATAACGCCGAGAGTCTAAGTGTTTATTGATGGGATCCCCACCGTACCTTACCCTAGAGGGATTCCCTATTTACTGCCTAAAAGAGAATCAGATTTCTTTTTAATTTTTAAATATTTATTTTTGAGATAGAGTGCAACCAGGGGAGGGGCAGAGAGAGAAGGGGACAGAGGATCTGGAGTGGGCTCTGCGCTGACAGCAGTGAGCCTGATGTGGGCTCGACCTCATGAACAGTGAGATCATGACCTATGCTCAAAGGACTGAGCCACCCAGGTGCCCCAAGAGAATCAGATTTCTTAAAATAAATTCTACCACGCAATTTATATTCTATGCCACTGTCTTTAAAGGTGGGAGAGTGGAGATGTAAGTTTAATAAACTGGGAAGTGCTTGTTAACAGAGATCACAAACTACACCATCTCTGTCAGGCTACTCTGGGTCGGAGTCACCCAACTGCTTATTGTACTGAGCCAAGATTTACCTATAAAAAAAGAAACTAAAAACAGAATCCCCGATGGGAGAAAAACTTACTTTTTGGGTTATACCTTCTGAACACTGATGTATTTTTATTTTTTCCATGTACATGTATTACCTTAAAACACAAAAAAATTAGAAGGATATTATGGATCAGTTGATGAGATACACTGGCTCATTTGGCCCAGAAATGAATAGTTATAAATGACAGCAACAGGGCACCTGGGTGGCTCAGTTGGTTAAGTGTGACTTCAGCTCAGGTCATCATCTCATGGTTTGTAAGTTTGAGTCCTGTGTCGGGCTCTGTGCTGACAGTTCAGAGCCTGGAGCCTGCTTCGGATCCTGTGTTTCCCTCTCTCTCTGCCCCTACCCTACTCACGGTCTCTCTCTCAAAAATAAATAAACATTAAAAAAAATTTAAAAATCACAGCAACAAAAAATCTTTCTTTTTTTATGAGAGCTCTTTCAGACAAAAGTTAAGGAATGAAATACAAACCTTCCAACTTGATATGTGGGGACAGCAGTTGTTCCAAATCTTTGCATTCCATAGTAGTTAATAAATCCAATCTCCTTGAGAGAGTTCATGGCTTGCTGAACTTGTTCATCAGTTCCTGTTATATTTCTGTTAAGGGCCCAAATTTCCCAGAAAAAAATTTAGTCACACATATTCATGGATACATATAAATGATATGGCTTAGCTTCCATGCCTTTCCCCTTTTTTAAAAAAAGGTTTTAGGGCTGCCCTGGGTGGCTCAGTCGGTTAAGTGTCTGACTTCAGCTCAGGTCATGATCTCCCGGTTCACAGGTTCAAGTCTGGCATCAGGCTCTATGCTGACAGAGCCTAGAGCCTGCTTCAGATTTTATGTCCCTCTCTCTCTCTGCCCCTCCCCCATTCAAACTCTCTGTCACTCAAAAATAAACATTAAAAAAATTTTTTTAAGTTTTATTTAAGTAATCTCTACACCCCACGTGGAGCTCGAACTCATGACTCTGATATCAAGAGTCACATGCTCTTCCTACTGAGCCAGCCAGGTGCTCCTCCCTGCCTTTCCCTTATCCCTGGTAGCCTTCTCTCTACCTCCTGAGGACTCTTTTCTTTTTCTCTTTTCTTTTTTTAAATTGTAAATGGAAGCTCTGCACCCACTAAACAATAGCTCTCCTTTCCCCCTCCTACGCCAGGCCCCAGGTAACCTCTACTCTATTTCTTGTGTCTGTGAGTGCGCCCATCCAGGTACTGCATGTAGGCGGAAGCACAGCCTCTTGATCTTTAAACCCTGTGTTGGAAGCAGACAGCTTCTCTCCGAAGGAAGGGCTGAGTTTTGAGAGGTGAGGGGGCGTTGGCACAAATACTGCAGCAGTACTTGCTCTCCTGGCCCTATGGGGCTCTGCTCTGCCTTCCTTTCCTGCCACACCTGTTAGTGCCAGCTCACCTGGGTTGATCACTGGTGCAAACAGACGTGAGGTGCCCCAGCAAGACCCTCTAGTCTGCATTCCTACCTGCAGTTCTTTACCTGAGGACAACAGTGAAGTGGTTCCCTTGAAGCTCTCCCAATTTCAGAGGGTTTTTCTGATAGCTGAAATTCCCTAGCTTAAAGTTCATCAAGCACTTGTTCAAGTGGGCAAGTCTTTGAGCAGTTATTCTAAAAAATATAAAAAAAAAAGAGCACAAAGAGATCATGAAATACTGCCTCACTGAAAAATAGTCCAGGACGCTTGTTACTTGTTCCTATAAGTAACAACCAGTAACAACCAGACTACAGCACGCTATGAAGAGTGAAAAAGGCACCCCAGCAGCTAGGGTGAGCGTTACTTTCCATTTTCCTCTGGACTGTTCCTCCAGCAAAATGATACTGGTTCATTCTTATTGGACAGACGTAACCTGGGCCATACTTATATTCATAAAGCCTCAAGTTATTTATAATCAGTAATGGGACAATCACGTAGGCGCAATCTGCTACTTTTTGTGACGGGGGAAGGGTGCGGCAAGGGGATAAGAGCAGAGAGCAATCCCATACAACTGCAGAGATTGTTATTAAACATTTTAAAGAGTCAGTCCCATTTTCAGAAAAATATTGTAATCTTGCTACAGGAAACTTGGAAAAGTACAAAGAAAGGCAATTTATAGTTTCATTACCTGAAAAAAATGTTAATATCTAACTTTGTAATTCCTCCCATTCTTTTTTTTTTTTCATTCTTTTCTTTTTCTTTTTTTTAAAGTTTATTTTGAGAGAGACAGGGAGAGAGCAGGGGAGGGGCAGAGAGAGAGAGAGAGAGAGAATCTGAAGCATGCTTTTTCACTGTAAGTGCTGAGCCTGATGTGGGGCTCAAACCCACAAACCATGAGATCATGACCTGAGCTGAAATCAAGAGTCAGACACTTAACCAACTGAACAACCCAGGTACCCCTCCAGTCTTTTCTTCTTAAACACATGATAGATATAGACAGATAGATAGACAGACAGACAGATAGAGATGGAATCTTACCACGAATGTGCACCTTGCTATCATTTAAAAGGTATTAGAAAGTGTTCATGAAAAATCCCTAAGTAGTAATACATGTAGAAAAACAAATAGAGGACTGAAAAACTTTTGTCCTTTCTCCAGCCCTAAACAACTCTCCCCACCAGTAGCCAATGTTAATAGCTTCTCATGTTTCCTTCCAGAAACACTTTCTGTATATAGAAGCATGTAAGTACCTACTGTCTCCTCTCTTTTAAGTATTTTTTGGGAAGCTTTTAACATAAATGTCATATATATGGAAAAATACACAACTCATAAGTGTTCTGCTTGATGAATTTTCACAAAGTAAACACAACCATGTAACTAATACCCAGATCCTCCCTTTTAGAAAACAAATTTCATTACACTGTAAATTGTTCAGCATCTTGCTTTTTTCACTTAAAAATGAATATCTGATGGGGCACCTGGATGGCTCAGTCGGTTAACCGTCTGACTTTGGCTCAGGTCATGATCTCGTAGCTTGTGGGTCTGAGCCCTGTGTTGGAATCTGCACTGATAGCCTGCTTGGAATGCTCTTTCCTTTTCTCTGCCCCTCCCCCACCCTGCACTTTCTCTCTCAAAATAAACTTCAAAAAAAACAATGAAAATCCGAGGTTTACTTTATTCACGCAGTACTTCTGAAGCTGCCTCGTTCTTTGGCCAGCGGCACAAGGATGGCTGCTGTCCTACATGGATATTCAATCCTTTACGTGACCAGTCTCCTTTGAGGGGCATTTAAATTGCTACCTATCTTTTGCTATCACACACAATTCTATAGCAAATAACCTTACACATACTTCTTTGTGCATCTATATAGGTACACGACTGGAATAAATCCCTAGATGTGGATTTAAAATTTTAATCCCTATTGCCCTCCAAAAATGTTTTATCGGGGCGCCTGGGTGGCTCAGTCGGTTAAGCGTCCGACT